GCCTCCTTTCGGTGGCCTCCTTTAGTCGCCCTCTGCTCTGCCCCAGTTTCCTCCGTTACGGACTTTGATCAATGCGATCATTGGCCGCAGGATATTGACGTGCCAGCCGTCGGCCGAGCTCCAACCAGGATTCTCTCGATCCGCATGCCAGTTTTGGCTGAGGAGCTAAGAAGCACGCCTGGTTCAGGCAGATGCTCTCATGAGAATGATATACATATGACACTTTTTGGTGGGGATAGGAACACATTTCGCACCGCGGGGAAAAACTATTTACCCCACTGGGCTCTGTCGAGCTCTGGCCCGCGCCATCCTCTCTTCTGTGGAGCAATTTGTTGTCTCCAAGAATGGGGATGCGGATTTCGTCTTCGTCCGGGATTCCCCCGAGGTGCTGAGTTCTCTGTTTGATTTCCTAGTTCCGTGGGGCAACGACTCCGACGAGCGTTTCTTGGTCCCTTCTGACTTTAGTGCCCAGAAGAAGAATCGCACACGGGCTGGCCCTGAGAAGCACAGATTTCTTGCCGAGGCTGCGGATATTCCAGGGTCGGCCTCATCACACCAGCAGGAGGCTCTCGAAGCCCCCGAAGAGCAGACCTATATCGAGATCCAGGCTGAAGCTCTAGCTGCAGCCCGCGACGGCCACTTTGGCACGTCCAGCTCTCTCCCTCCGCTCTCGTCTCCTCCGACGTCGTCGACGCCGTCCGTTGTTGTCCCCCCCTCGCCTCCGCCTCTCGTCCTGAGCGAGGCACAGTTGGCCCGCATCGAGACCAACCGAGCAGCGGCTAGAGTCAGGCGCGCGGGGCGCGCCAGGCAGGCACATGCTCTCAGAGCTCCGTGGAGCCCGGAGGGCACGCTCAAGGGCAATTTCTTCGGGGAGCCCTCTGGGGTTCAGGGCCCCGACCTTTTCTTCGCTGGAGGTTTAATTGGCGGTGGCGTTAGTGATGGATCCTCGTGAGGTCCCAAGCGCCACCCACCGGTTTGCCTCGCGGGACGAGCACGCAAGACAGCGAAGCCGAGCGTCGCATCACCTCCCTTATACTCATCCTCCTCCTCCTTCCCCTCCCCTCCTTCCTCCTCCTCCTTCTCCTCCTCCTGCTGCTCCTCCCCGTCCTCCTCCTTCTCCTGCTGATGCTGGTCCTCCTCATCATTATCATCATCGCCATCATTACCATCATCATCATCATCCTCATCATCATCAGTATCCTCATCATCGTCGTCATCATCATCATCATCATCCTCATCATCATCCGCATGGTTCTTTTATCGTTACCATCACAATCACCACTCCCTTCCCCTTTCTCCTCCTCCCCCCTCCCTCCTCCCTCCTCCTTTTCGTCCTCCTCCCTCTTCCTCCTCCCTCCTCCCGCATCCTCCCTCATTCTCCCTCATCCCCATCCTCTTCCTCATCCGTCATCCTCCCTCCTCCTCCTCCTCCTTCATTATCCTCCTCCTCCTTCACCCTCCTCCTCACTCCTCCTCTCTCCTTCTCCCTCCTCCTCCTCGTCCTCGTCCTCCTCGTCCTCCTCCCTCCCATCCTTCCTCCTCCTCTTTGTCCTCCTCCTCCTACCCCTCCTCCTCCTCCTCTTCCTTTTCCTTCTCCTCCTCCCAATCTGCAGCATCATCATGCTCATCATCAACAACATCATCATCATCAGCATCCGCGTCAGCATCAGCATCATCATCATCAGCAGCAGCAGCATCAGCAACACCAGCATCAGCATCCCCTTCTTCCTCCTCCCTTCTCCTTTTCCCTCTTCCTCTCATCCCCTCCTTCCTCCTCCTCCTTCTCCTCCTGATCCTCCTCTTCCTCCTCATCATCATCCTGCTGCTCCTCCTTTTCCTCCTCCTCCCCCTCCTCCTCCTCCTCCTCCTCCTCTTCCTCCTCCTCCTCCCTCCTCCTCCCTCCTCCTCCCTCATCCCTCTCCTCCTCATCCTGCCTCATCATCCCTCTTCTCCTCATCTCTCGCTTTCTTCTCCCTCCCTCTCTCCCTCTCTCTCCTCTCTCCTCTCCTCCTCCTCCTCCTCCTCCTCCTCCTCCTCCTCCTCCTCCTCCTCCTCCCTCCTCCTCCTCCTCCTCCTCCTCTCCTCCTCCTCCTCCTCCTCCTCCTCCCTCCTCCTCCTCCTCCTCCTCCTCTCCTCCTCCTCCCTCCTCCCCTCCTCCCTCCTCCTCCTCCTCTTTCCCTCCTCCTCATCATCATCATCATCCTAATCCCCTTCCTCCTGCTCTTTCATCCTTCTGCCTCCTCCTCCTTCTGCTCCTCCTCCTCCTATTGTTCCTCCTTCCTCCCTCCTCCTCCTCCTCCTCCTCCTCCTCCTCCTCCTCCCTTCCCCCCTCCCCCTCTTCCGCCTCCCTCATTATTCCCCCTCCTCCTCCTTCATCCCCAACCTCCTCCTTCCTCCTCTCTCCTCCTCCCTCCTCCCTCTTCCTTCTCCTCCTCATCAACAGCATCAGCATCAGCATCAGCATCAGCATCAGCATCATCATCATCATCATCATCATGATACCAGAGAAAAAACCCAATCATATTTTTTTGGGGGGGCTATGAGGCTTTAGGGCTTTAGGGCTATGGGGCTATAGGGCTATAAGGCTATGTGGCCACAGGGATTATAGGGCTAGAAGCCTTTAGGGCTATGGGGCTATAGGGCTACAGGGCTATAGGGCTAAGGGCTATAAAGCTATTCGGGCTATAGTGCTATATACGGCTATAGGGCTTTAGGACCATAGGGCTATAGGGCTATAGGGCTATAGGGCTATAGGGCTATAGGGCTATGGGGCTATGGGGCTATGGGGCTATTGGGCTATTGGGCTATTGGGCTATAGGGCTATCAGAGGTGAGGGGTGAGATCGAAGTGGAACGGCGAGCCCCCCACCGGGAAATCGGTTTCGGTTTCGTGCGTGCCGTGCGTGCGAGGCGAAGCTGCGTGGGCGGGCGAGAAAAAGTCTCCTGTGGCTGAGGCGCGGCCGGACCAAATGTTTCTCTTCCGGGGCGCGGGGCCCCGCGGTGTCCCGCCGGTGTCCCGCGGTGTCCTCCTGTGGCTGAGGCGCGGCCGGACCAAATATTTCTCATCCGGGGCGCGGGGCCCCGCGGTGTCCCCCGGTGTCCCGCGGTGTCCCGCGGTGTCCCGCGGTGTCCCGCCGGTGTCCCGCGGTGTCCCGCGATGATGATGATGATGATGATGATGATGATGATGATGATGATGATGATGATGATGATGATGATGATGATGATGATGATGATGATGATGATGAGATGATGATGATGGTGTCCCGATGAAGATGATGATGATGTTGATGATGGTGTCGATGATAATGATAGTGTCCCGATGATGAGGATGATAATGCTCATGATGATTATGTTGATGATGATGACGATGAAGGTGTCCCGATGATGATGATGATGATGATGATGATGATGATTCCGATGATGTTGGTGATGATGATGTTGATGGAAATGGTGTCCCGGCGATAATGATGATGATGATGATGATGATGTTGATGATGTTGATGATGATTATGGTGTCCCGATGATGATGCTGATGATGATGATGGTGATGATGATGATGATGATGATGATGATGATGATGGTGATGCTGATGGTGTCCCGATGATGATAATAATGATAATGACGATGTTGATGATGATGTTGCTCATGATGATGATGATGGTGCCCCAATGATGATGATGTTGTTGATGATGATGATGATGATGTCGCTGATGATGATGCGATGATCATAACGATGATGGTGTCCCGAGGATGATGACGATGTTGATGATAATGTTGATGATGAGAACGATGGTGATCATGATGGCGTCCCGATTCTGATGATGCTGCTGATGATGATGACGATGACTGTGTCCCGATGATGATGTTGATGATGAGATGATGATGGTGATGATGATGATGATGATGATGATGTTGTCCCGATGATGATGCTGACGTTGATTATGATGTTTATGATGATGATGATCACGGTGCCCTCATGATGATGACGATGTTGGTGATGATGTTGATGTTGATGATGTTGATGATGGTGATGATGATGATGATAGCGTTGATTGTGAGAGCGATTGTGATATCGATAGTGAGATCGATATTGAGACCGAAGGTGAGATCGATTGTGTTATCGATTGTGAGATCGATTGTGAGATCAATTGTGAGATCGATCGAATTAGATAGATCGAGTGAGATGTATTGTGAGATTGATCGAGTGAGATCGATCGAGCGAGACCGATAGTGAGATCGATACTGAGATCGATAGTGAGACCGATCGAGTGAGACGTTGGTTTCCCCCCCCCCGAACCTCCTTATCACCCGAAGGGTGGTCGTATAGGTACGGCTATAGGGCTATAGGGTTATAGTGCTATAGGGATATATGGCGATTGGGCTATTGGGATATAGGGATATAGGGCTATTGGGCTAGGCACCCCCGGGCACTTCTGGGCACCCCGGGCACCCGGGCACCCCTGGGCACCCGGGCTCCTCCTCCTCCTCCTCCTATTCTTCCTCCTTCTCAAGCTCTTCGGCCTCCTCCCTCCTCCTCCTCCTCCTCCTCCTCCTCCTCCTCCTCCTCCCTTCCCCCCTCCCCCTCTTCCGCCTCCCTCATTATTCCCCCTCCTCCTCCTTCATCCCCAACCTCCTCCTTCCTCCTTCCTCCTCTCTCCTTCTCCCTCCTCCCTCTTCCTTCTCCTCCTCATCAACAGCATCAGCATCAGCATCAGCATCAGCATCAGCATCAGCAGCAGCAGCATCATCATCATCATCATCATCATCATCAGCATCAGCATCAGCATCAGCATCATCATCATCATCATCATCATCATCATCATCATCATCATCATCATCATCATCAGCCCCTCTCTCCTCCTCCCTCCTCCTACGCCGTGCTCCCTGTCCTCCCCCGTCCTCGCCGTCGTCCCCCTCATCATCGCCACTGCTGCCCGCAGCCGTTTGGCTCCAAGACCCTTTGCAGCGCAGACCCCACCTCTCGCCGAGCTTAGCGCGATGACCGCGGCGAGCAGCGCCACCGCCGCGGCGCGTCCGGCCGACCCCGCCCAACTCGCCGGGTGGCTGGCGTCTCGGCGGGCGGCCACGCTCGAGCTGGCCGACGGCAGCGCCTTCGAGGGCTTCTCCTTCGGGTGTCCTGGGTCCGGGATCCTGTGCCGCCTCGGTCGTCGGCCGAGGGACGAGGACGGGGTCGTCGTCCCAGGTCGCGGTCGAGGCTCCAGGTTTTCGAGCATCCTCGTCGGCTCTCAGACGTTTTTCCAGCCTCGGGATGCGTGCCAGCGGCTGCGCCTCGCAGGGGGCGTTCCGGGGGTGCCCGGATCGTCCCCAACGGCCGCCAGAGGCAGGACTTTGGGCCCGAAAACCGACCACAGAGGGGGCTCAAGCCGTGATGGCTTAATCACTGGCCCAATCGTGTTGTTCAGGAGCCGACTTCGCAGTCATAAGCTTTAGGCCAGTGCTCAAGCCGGGCACGCAGAGATACAGACAAGAATACACACAGTCCGGCGCACAACGTTGGGGTGCTTGATTGCGAAGGCGACGATGAATCAATATCATCACATTTGTTCACGCCTACATCACGTTCGCGTCCCAGTGCGATTCCGCTTCTCATCACATTGGGGGGCGGGGGGTTATGGGGGAGACCCAGGCCCCGGTGCGTCGTGAAGCCATCCCGGCGGGAAGTTTGTGGCGCCATGTTCCGCCTTCCTTTGGGGCCCGTGTCGGGCTTTGGGGTCGTCCTCGTCAGAAACACGGCTGGGGGGAACACCTGCTTCCAGCCTTGTACCAAAAACCCTACGGAATGTTCCCGGAAAGAGCGTGGGCCCAGGGTTCTTTTTCAGTTGGTTAACCCCCCGGCCTGGACTTGAGCTGGGCCGGCGAATTTCATCTGCGATAAATAGCGAGGTCGAGGTGGGTGGGCGAATCAAAATTGAGGATGTCCCGAGCGAAACGCTTGTGTTGCAGAAATTGTTGATGATATCTCGAGCGAAACGCTTGTTTTGTGTTCTAGATTGTCCTCTCCTGGGGACCAGAATTGAGAAGATCTCTCAAGTGAAATGCTTGTTTTCACGTGCCCAGGTCTTGAGGATGTCTCGAGCGAGACGCTTGTTTTCACGCGTCCAGGTTGCCCAGGCAGATGTCTAACATGAGGATTTGTTGAGGATGTCTCGAGCGAGACGCTTGTTTTCACGCGTCCAGGTCGCCCAGGCAGATGTTTAGCATGAGGATTTGTTGAGGATGTCTCGAGCGAGACGCTTGTTTTCACGCGTCCAGGTCGCCAGGCGGATGTCTAGCATGAGGATGTGTTGAGGGAGTCTCGATCGAGACGCTTGTTTGAACGTGTCCAGGTTGCCCAGGCGGATGTCTAGCATGAGGATGTCCCGTAGCGAGTCCCCCTGGCACGTCGCGCGGCGCGTCCCCTGGCGCGTCCCGTGGCACGTCCATTGGCTCGTTCCGTAGCGCGTCCCCTTGGCATGTCCCGCGGTGCGTCCCCATGGCACGTCCCCTGGCACGTCGCCTGACGCGTCCCTTGGAACGTTCCGCGACGCATCCCCCTCGCAAGTCACCCTGTCAATTAGCTCTGCGGCAGCTACTGTGTGCTCTGGCAGCTCGAGCTTACGAGTCAGATCAGTTCGGTCAGGACTCGGATGCAAAGGAGGACTCGATCCACAAAGCTATGGAGCACAATCGCGGCATGGCACCTCTCAGTTCAGCACGGCGCAGCACAGCACGGCCCTCGGCACGGTACATCAAGAACGATACAATCATCATTGCAACCTGGCACGTTCCGTGGCGCGTCCCCTTGGCACGTCGCGCGGCGCGTCCTTTGGCGCGTCCCGTGGCACGTCCATTGGCACTTTCCGTAGCTCGCCCCCTTGGCACGTCCCGCGGTGCGTCCCCATGGCACGTCCCCTGGCACGTCCCCCGGCGCGTCCATTGGGACGTTCTGTGGCTCGTCCATCTGGCAAGTCCCCCTATCAATTAGCTCAGGGGAAGCTACTGTGTGCTCAGGCAACTCGAGCTTACGATCCAGATCAGTTCGGTCAGGACTCGGATGCAAAGGATGACTCGATCCACAACGCTATAGAGTACAATCGCGGCATGGCACCTCGCAATTCAGCACGGCACAGCACAGCACAGCCTTTGGCACGGTACATCAAGATCGATACACGCAGCCCAAGCAGGTGTCTTGAAAACGTTGCCATGCCTCACATGTCTATATCCCTTTCCGGGCTCGCTGGTCGATCATGTTGCTATTTTCGGCTTCCGGGGGCCCTTACTGGGCCTCGGGACCGTCAAAAAACGACTCTGGATGAAAGACCGGTTCTGGGGAAAGGGTCCAGACCTCCTGAGGGTTTGCGTCATGGAAGAATCCTGGCGTCGGGGGCCAGTTGAGACAACGGCAGCTGGCCTTCGGTGGGCTCCCTTGTCGCCACTGCTGGACGCAGGTCGGAAGATTAGAAATTGGTGCGTTTGGACCCCACCGGGAGGGGTCCGGGGGCAGAATGTTTATTGTCGTTGCCTCAACTCGCCCCCCTGCGAGGAATGTGACTCACTGACCTCGCGTGGCCTCAGTGTGTTTCCAGTGCGGGCCTTCGCTGCGCTCATACGCCCGTGCTGAAACGCAGCACGTACCGGAGTCAAAACGTCTGGGTTGAAGACGCTTGCGTGTTGGTTCAACACGTGTTGGCTTACGCCTTGGTGTGTACATGTATCATACCAGAACCACGTGTTCAATCTACATGTTGGGCACCGTGTCAGCATGTTCTGGGTTGCGTGATGCGTACCAGGGCAACTGCTGTGTGGGTGGTTGGTATGTCTGCGCCCTCGCCCGAGCTGGTGCGATTGATGTTCTTCAGGTCGCACGTGGCTTGTGTTCGTCCCTACTCTATTTCTCCTCCGGTTGTACCTCCTCCTCCCCCTCCTCCCCCTTCCCCTCCCTCCTCGTGAGGCCGTTCTTGCAGCGATTCCGTGACACATGTATGTGCCTCGCGGCCCGAGGCCAGGGTTCGTGCTTCGGGCCTGGCGGGCAGTGAAAGGCTGCGTGCGCTCGGCCAGCAGGACTTGGGAGGCGCGCCGTGCTGGCGAGTTCCTTGCTCTTTCTCTTGCTCCCGCTCCACAAAAATTGCACCGGAGCAGAAATCGCGTGCATGCAATTCATGGTTGTATGTATGTATGCACGTACGTAGGTATGTATGCATGCATGCATGTATGTATGCATGCAGGTATGTATGTAAATATGTAAGTATGTGCATGTGTGTATGTACGTACGTACCTACGTGCGCACGTATGTGTGTATGTTTGTGTGTATGCATGTATGTATGTATGTATGTATGTATGTATGTATGCATGCATGCATGCATGCATGCATGCATGCATGCATGCATGCATGCATGCATGCATGTATGTATGTATGTATGTATGTATGTATGTATGTATGTATGTATGTATGTATGTGTGCATGCATGCATGCATGCATGCATGCATGCATGTAGTTGCACTACGTCTCGGCTCGACTTCTCTGCGTCTGTGGCCCTCCACCGCGGGGGTGGTGTAATTATATCCGCCGCACTCTCAGGTATTAGGGTGTCCAGGAGGTGCCGATACCGCTACTCTTCGGACCTCTCATCGGTTGCGTTCTGACGAGGACGTCGAAGCGAATCCAGCGGTGGCGACGAGGGCCTCCCAGGAGGCCCAAAAAGGCGAAGACAAGGCAAGCACAGCGGTATGGGTGCCTTTTCCTCCTCTGAGGTATGGGGGATCCACGACTGGCGAGGTCGTCTTCAACACGGGCATGGTCGGGTATCCCGAGTCGCTCACGGACCCGTCGTACGCCGGGCAGATCCTCGTGCTCACGTTCCCTCTGGTGGGCAACTACGGCGTGCCCGACGACGAGGAGCGCGACGCGCTCGGCCTCCTGCGGCACTTCGAGAGCGAGAGGATACACATCAAGGTTGGAGCCGCCTGGGGGTCTGAGGTGGCCCAGCACTGGTTCTGGCCAGCAGGACGGGCGGGCAGGGTCGTCGAGGTTCTGGGTTTGAGAGGGTTGTTTCCCGAACAGGGCGTCGCCCCAGGGTTCTCTTTTAAGGGTTTTCCCCCCGGCCTCGACGGCTGTAGGGCTGGCGAATTTAATCTGCGATGAATAACAAGGTGGAGTAGGGCCGGCGAATTGAAATTTAAGGATGTCCCGAACGAACCGCTTGTTTCGCAGAAATTGTTGAGGATATCTCGATCGAAACGTTTGTTTTGTGTTAAAGCTTGTCCTCTCCTGGGGACCAGAATTCAGACGATCTCTCAAGTGACATGCTTGTTTTCAAGTGCCCAGGTCTTGAGGATGTCTCGAGCGAGACGCTTGTTTTCACGCGTCCAGGTTGCCCAGGCAAGTGCTAGCATGAGGACTTGTTGAGGATGTCTCGAGCGAGACGCTTGTTTTCACGCGTCCAGGTCTCCCATGCGGATGTCTAGCGTGAGGATGTGTTGAGGATGTCTCGATCGATACGCTTGTTTGCACGTGTTCAGGTTTCCCAGGCGGATGTCTAGCATGAGGATGTGTTGAGAATGTCTTGAGCGAAACGCCTGTTCTCAGGTGTCCAGGTCGCCCAGGCACAGCACAGCCCTCGGCACGGTACATTAAGATCGATACACTCAGCATTGCAATTTGGCGCGTTCCCTGGCACGTTCCGTGGCGCGTCCCGTGGCGAGTCCCCTTGGCACGTCGCGCGGCGCGTCCCCTGGCACGTCCATTGGCACGTTCCGTAGCGCGTCCCCTTGGCATGTCCCGAGGTGCGTCCCCATGGCACCTCGCCTGGCGCGTCCCTTTGGACGTTCCGCGGCGCGTCCTCCTTGCATGTCCCTTGTCAATTAGCTCTGGGGCAGCTACTAAGTTTGTGCTCAGGCAGCTCGAGCTTAAGAGTCAGATCAGTTCTGTCAGGACTCGGATGCAAAGGGGGACTCGATCCACAACGCTATAGAGCACAATCGCTGCATGGCACATCGCAATTCAGCACTGCACAGCACAGCACAGCCCTCGGCACGGTACCTCAGCATTGCAAGTGCCCGTCGCCCAATCAGGTGTCCATGGAATGTTGCCATGCCTTACATTTCTATATTTCTTTCCAGGTTCGTGGGTCGATCATGTTTTTCGAAAAGTGCATCGGCCCGAGTTTTTTTTGCTGCTTACACCCGGAATCGACTTGAGACGGGCCGGCGAAGTTATTCTGCGATGAATTCTTAAATGAATAATGATGTCGAGACGGGCCGGCGAACAACATGTTGCGGATGTCCCGAGCGAAAGGAGGCTGTTTTTTGCCATTCCGATCGATAAACCACAGGGTAAAGTACGCATGATTGTTTGTTGCGGATGTCTCGAGCGAAACGCTCGTTTTGCAGAATTTGCTGAGGATGTCTCGAGCGAAACTGGGAGACTTCCAGGAACCTAGACGCCCGAGGATGCCCCAGGGGGTCCTGGGACTGCGGACGCAGCGTAATTTACGAGGGATCGTGGGCCTGGGAGCGTGGACGCAGCTTAGTTTACCAGGGATTGTGGCTCAGGGAGGGCGGACGCAGCGTAATTTGCAAAGGAGCGCGGCCCTTGGGAGGGCGGACACAGCGTAATTAATTGGGGAACGTGGCCCTGGGAGAGCGGACACAACGTAATTTACAAGGGAGCGCGGCCCTGGGAGCGCGGACGCAGCGTAGTTTACGATGGATCGTGGCCCTGGGAGCGCGGACGCAGCGTATTTTATTTGGGATCGTGGCCCTAGAAGCGCAGACACAGCGTATTTTACGAGGGAGCGTGCCCTTGGGAGCGCGGACGCAGCGTAGTTTACAATGGATCGTGGCCCTTGGGGGCCTGACACAGTGCAATGTTCTGGGGAACGTTGCTGTAGGAGCGCGGACGCAGCGTAATTTACGATGGATCGTGGCCCTGGGAGCGCGGACGCAGCGTACTTTATAATGAATCGTGGCTCTTGGGGGGCTGACACAGCGTAATGTACTAGGGAGTGTGGCCCTGGGAGCGCGGACACAGCGTAATTTACGATGGATCGTGGCCCTGGGAGCGCGGACGCAGCGTAGTTTTTTAATGGGCAACGTGGCGTTGGGAGAACACATGGTAATTTACAAGGGAGCGTGGCCTTGGGAGCGCGGGCGCAGCGCAATTTACGATGGATCATGGCCCTGGGTCAGGGACGTCCCGCGGCACGTTCCCTGACGCGTTCCCTGGCACGTTCCCTGGCGCGTCGCCTGGCATTTCACTTGCACGTTCCGTGGCGTATCCCGTGGCGAGTCCCCCTGGCACGTCGCGCGGCGCGACCCCTGGCACGTCCCATGGCACGTCCATTGACACGTCCCGTAGCGAGTCCTTTTGGCACGCCCCGCGGTGCGTCCTCATGCCACGTCCCCTGGCACGTCGCCTGGCGCGTCCCTTGGGACTCGCCTGGCACGTCGCAAAGGAGGACTCGATCCACAACGCTATAGAGCACAATCGCGGCATGGCACCTCGCAGTTCAGCACGGCGCAGCACAGCACGGCCCTCGGCACGGTACATCAAGAACGATACACTCATCATTGCAACCTGGCACGTTCCGTGGCGCGTCCCCTTGGCACGTCGCGCGGCGCGTCCTTTGGCGCGTCCCGTGGCACGTCCATTGGCACGTTCCGTAGCTCGCCCCCTGGGCACGTCCCGCGGTGCGTCCCCATGGCACGTCGCCTGGCGCGTCCCTTTGGACGTTCCGCGGCGCGTCCCCCTGGCATGCCCCCCTGTCAATTAGCTCTGGGGCAGCGACTACGTGCTCAGGCAGTTCGAGCTTAAGATCCAGATCAGTTCGGTCAGGACTCGGATACAATGGGAGACAGCACAACGCTATAGAGCACTATCGCGGCATGGCACCTCGCAGTTCAGCATTGCGCAGCACAGCACAGCCCTCGGTAGGGTACGTCAAGATCGATACGCTCAGCATTGCAAGTGCCCGTCGCCCAATCAGGTGTCTTGAAAACGTTGCCATCCCTGACAATTCCATATTCCTTTTCGGGTTCGCGGGTCGATCATGTTGCCCTTTTAGGCCTCGGGGAGTCTTCGGGCCGCGAGTGTGCAACACGGATCCGGGGTGCAAAGCTGCTGGACACCGGGAGGGGTCCAGGGTTTGATTTTGAGCGGATTTGGCTCCACCCCCTCTTCCTGACGGATATTCTGAGGCCCCAGCCAGTTCAGACATGGCTCCTCCTCCTCCTCCTCCTCCTCGCTCCTCCTCCTCCTCCTCCTCCTCCTCTTCGCTCCTCCTCCTCCTCCTCCTCCTCCTCCTCCTCCTCCTCCTCCTCCTCCTCTTCGCTCCTCCTCCCCCTCCTCCTCCTCCTCCTCCTCCTCCTCAACTCCCCAGCCGCCTCCACCATCAAGGCCCTCGTAGTTTCGGACTACTCCTTCGTGGCGTCCCACTACACGGCGAGGAAGACGCTGGGGCAGTGGCTCGAGGCGAGATGAGGTGAAGAGCAATCTGCGCAGGCGAAGGATTTCGTGGTTCCGCGCGCATGCCTTGGCTTCGGCGCCACCCAGACATTGTGATATTATGTCCCAGACCTCCTCGCGTTGTGAACAAATCGCGACGTAATCTTTTCCGTTATTTTCGGCCTCCGGGGGCCCTTACCGGGCCTCGGCACCGTCAAACAAATTTCCAGGATGAAAAACCGGTCCCGGGGAAGGGGTCCAGACCTCTGGGGGTCGACGTCATGAACAAATCACGACGGTGGGGGTTTGGGGTGGGGCGCTCCAGGATGGGCCTTGCCTTCGAGGATCGGAGGAATCGGCATCTCTTCCTCGGCGGAAGGCCGACGGAAGGCGGCGGAAGTAAAAGATGCGCCCCCAAGAGATGAAACAGTTTCTGGGTCCAGGGTTTCCGAAATCCGCCATGTGTAAATCACCCCCAAAGGACGACGCACGCGCCGAGAAGTCAGGTAGTATAAGCTCCGTGGCAGGCGCTTTCTGGCCATACCGCACGGGAAACGACTACAAGATGTTTATACAATCGTCGGGTCGGGCGCACGCCTCCAAGGAGGACGCAACGTACTGGTGTGCCCTTGAGCGTCCCATGGATCAGCGTTGGAACCTCCCTCCCTGGTGCGCGGAGGCGCTGCCAGAGAAGTCAAGCACCGATCCCAGAAATCCGAGCGGACCTCCGAAAGCTTATGCGTCTGCAGTTTTGCTCTCCCTCAAGAGCTTGGCATCGCTTGGGCGTGTGCCTTCTATTGGCGAGGACCATCGAGGAGCATTTTGTGCCATCTTGCGGAAAATCCGCTCTCGAAACCGAAACATGCACGGGGAATGGACGTCCGAGCGATGGCGAGACAGGCGCACAAGATCCCGGGCATCTACGGGGTGGACACCCGCGCGCTGACCAAACTCATCCGCATGCACGGCGCGCTGCTGGGCAAGGTCGTCGTGGAGGGCGGCGCGCCGTCGGCGTCCATGGAGTTCTCGGACCCCAACGAGGCGAATCTGGCGGCCTCCGTCTCGCGCTCCCAGAAGCAGGTGACAGACGCAAAAAAAACGGTGCCGTCTGCGCCGACATTCGCGGATGAGCTTCTCGCGAAGGTCGCGCGTAAGCGCCCTCGTCTCAAATGTGGCGTGCCGCGCGGGCGGCCCGCGTAAGCCGCCGCGTAAGGTCGATATGTCATCTCGCCGCGTTCGACCCGCTTTTGACCGTCGGTCAGGTGTTCGTGCCCCCTCCGCTGACGGCGGACGGAGCCACGGCCCCGCTCGCCGGGAAGGACGAGAAGCAGGTCACCATCCTCGCCGTGGACTGCGGCATGAAGAACAACATCATCCGGTACTTCGTGGAGAGCCTCCGCGTCAAGCTGGTCGTGGTGCCCTGGGACTACGATGCGGCAGGCCTGCGCCACGCCCGCGGGCTGGTTTTTGTGCTGGTCGTTCGTGGTGCGTGTCCCTTGGGAAAGAGGTGCGCCCTCCCCCCCCACCGCGTCCTCCTTCCCCCCCCCCATTATCGCCCACCTCTTCCGCCATGGAGGGAGTTGGGTCCCCAAGGCCAGTGCTGCACCCGTCTTGCATTTTCTGCTTGTCTTGGGGCCTGTGGAGGGCCCCGGTGGCACCAAGACTCAATCAGTATTTCCCCACCGCCCAGCGACAAATCCGGGACAATGCGCCCCTCCACCCCTCTCTATCCATGTCCAAAAACAACACAGCAAGCATGTTGCACCAACGTCTGGGTCATGCGTGGACGCCCCACGATTTTTGACCAGTGGTTCTTGACAGGGACGGCGGGGGGGCAGGCATATTCCGGCGGGGCGAAAATTTAGGCCCACTTGCGTCCCCCAGTGGAGTTCCATCCCGCCAGCGCGAAATAATTTGCCATGCGTCAAAAAATAGGCGGAATAATTCGTCCCGGGGGATAAATTGTTGCTACTAATCAGTATCAGTGGAAGAATTGTCTTTTCCGCCGCGGCTGCGCCACAGCTGCGCTTTGTTATCTTGGTGCAGGAGTCTACGGGAGAGGGGGGGGCGTCGCATGTCTTGCGACGCTCTCGCCTTCATTCGCCGTGGCAAGATACATGGGCCAAACTATTGTCGCGGTGGTTTTGAATTTTCAGCGTTCGGTCGCGGAGCGGGCGGCGGGCGCGGCGAGGAGGTGATGTCGTTGCCCCCCGCATGCTGAGCTGGGGGCATTTAGGGGTGGCCCCAAAGCGCCGTTCCTCTTCGTCGCACCGGGGCCAGCACGCCGCATCTCTCCGTCGCACAAGGGCCTGCTCGGCCCCCGCCACGCGTCCGTTCCAACCGGGCGCCCGTCTGCCCAGGGGTCAGCGGTCAGCAACGCGCCGCCGCCGACCCGAAAGTCTTACCGCAAGAGCTGGCACGTTGCTTGGGCGCGGCGATGCCAGGAAACCTGCGCCCGGCACGCTGCTCGGGCGCGGCCGGGAAACCGCCGTCGGGCCCGCGTGTCATTTCACGCGCGCCCCCTTCTTCCGGATGGTATCCTTGCACGCCCTCGACGGCGAGAGCATCGTTCCAGCGCCCCGCTTTCGCAGGCCATCGGCGTTCCGAGAGTGCGCGCCAGGGCAATCCGTCTTGCGATGCACGGCGACGCGCGGGCGCAGCGCGGCGGGATCTCCAGAGGCTGGCAGGCGCGGCGCGGAGGAAGATGTGAAAATACAGCCCGCGGTCGAAGGCGCCAGGCCTCCGAAAAAACTGCGCTGGATGCCCCTGTGCGAATTTCCAGGGCTCGGTCGCGGAGCGGGCGGCGGGCGGGATATCTGGGGGAAGGCGCGGGGCGGAGCAAGAGGTGAAAATACAACCCGCGCTTGAAGGCGCCAGGCCTGCCGAAACGGCGCTGGACGCCCCTCCAGCGGGGCGAAAGTGTAGGCCCGCTTGCCTTTCCCAGTGGAGTTCCATCGCGCCAGCGCGGAAGAATCTTCCACGCGTCGAACAAAGGCGTTGCTGGTAATCAGTATTAGTGGGAGAATTGTCTCTTCCGCCGCGGCCGCGCCACCGCTGCGCATTGTCGTCTTGGCGCAGGAGTCAACGGGGGAGGGGGGGCCGTCGCAGGTCTTGCGACGCTCTCGCCTTCATTTGTCGTGGCAAGATATACGGGCTTAGCTACTGTCACGGCGGCGCATGAATTTTCAGCGTTCGGTCGCGGAGCGGGTGGCGGGCGCGGCGAGGAGGTGGCGTCGTTGCGCCCCGCGCACTGAGCTGGGGGCGTGAAGGGGTGGCCCCAGAGCGCAGTTTCTCTCCGTCGCACCGGGGCCAGCGCGCTGTTTCTCTCCGTCGCGCAAGGGCCTGCTCGGCCCCCGCCGCGCGCCGGTTCCAAGCGGGCGCCCGTCTGCCCCGGGGTCGGCGGTCAGCGGCGCGCCGCCGCCGACCCGAAAGTCCACCCGCAAGAGTTGGCGCGCTGCTTAGGCGCGGCGATGCCAGGAAAATTGCGCCCGGCACGCTGCTCGGGCGCGACCGAGAGAAACCGCCGTCGGGCCCGCGTGTCATCTCGCGCGCGCCCCCCTGAAGTCGCCGGCGCGACGGTGAAAGCGCCATTCCAGCGCCCCGATTTTGGCGGCCATCGGCGTTCCGAAGGCGCGCGCCAGAGCAATCCGTCTCGCGAATCACGGGCGCAGCGCAGCGGGATCTCCGGTGGCTGGCAGGCGCGGGGCGGAGGAAGAGGTGAAAATGCAACCCGCGGTTGGAGTCGTCAGGCCCGCGAAAAACGTCGGGCCTCCTGGAGGCCTCCTGGGCCGTCTTGGAGCGGTCTTGGGGGCCTGTAGGGCCGCCTGGGAGCGTCGGGAAGCCGACAAGGCGAGAGCGCCAAAAGCCTGCAACTACCACAAGAAAATCAACGATTCGGGCCTCTTGGGGCCCTTTTGGGGAGGCCTCTTGGAGGCCTCTTGTGGCGTTTTGGAGCGCTCGTTTGGCGACTCCGTGCCCTCTTCGACCGTCCTGAGGGCGTCTTGGGGGGTCTCCGGGCCCGTGCTGGAGCCCTCCTGAGCCCGAAGGAGTCGCGCGCCACCACGCCAGGACCCCCCCGGGGGCACGCGCCAAGCCCGGGAAGAGTCAAGAATTTTGGGGCCCCGGCCCTGAAGAGAGCCTCCTCGGGACTGAGGACCGAGACCCAGGCGGTCGGGCAAGGGAACCTGAGGACACGTCCGCTCGGTGCACAGAGGCACGGTGGCGGAGGAACAGAAAAATGAACCTTCGAAATGCGGGGTGGCGCAATCAACGCATAAGCAAGAACATAATGGTTTGCCACAATCGCGCCGCCGTGCTTGGGTCGTGGTCTTCGAGGGAATTCTCGATTGCTTCTTGGGCCATATGTGTCTGATTGGAGGTACCTTGTGGGCCTCTTCGGGGCCTCGTGGGTGCCGCCTGGGAGTTTCTTGGAGGCCTACTTGAGGCCTCCCGGGGCCAGCTGGCGGACTCCTGATGGGGGAGGGCAGCAGCATCTTGGCGACATGGACGCTCTCAAGAACGAAAAGACGAGAACGCAAACATCATACGACAACGAAAGATCGTTCAATGATTTTGTCTGCTTGACCAGCCTCCTGGACTTCCAAGACGGCCCAAGCGACTCCCAAGAGAGGCCCAGGATGTCTTCCAGGGCCATCGCAGTACAAGTGGAATGCGTGGACTCTACATGAGCATCCACACGGGCACCCAGGATTCCTGAGAATTTCGCGGTCTGGGCCCACTGAACGGAGAGCATGTACAGTTTTCAGCACGGAGGCCTCGAAGGGGCGCAGAGAAAGGACCTTGGAACAACCACATCCAGATGAAACATATGGGGGAGCCATCAGACAGACAATTGCTTTCGATGGAGCAGCTGCAGATGCTCGTAAAGCCTTCCTGGATTTGTCCACGCGCATAAGGGGGTAGGGGGAGGGGGAAGGCTACTTAGAAGCACCCCTGCTTCTTGGAAGTCGTGGGCCTTCTCTACAGATGTAAGGCCTTCGCAGTCTAAGAAGCGGCCTCCCTCTAAGAAGCCTTCCCCCATACCTGTGCCCTCTTGCTCGCGCCGCCACTGGTTTCCCTTGGCCCACCATGTCTTAAGCCAGCTCAGCCTCCCAGCTCCCAGCAGACGGACGGAGTTGCTCGCATGAGGGCGGGTCTCTCGAGCATCGTTTTGTTCCTTTACTTCCAGGCATCCAGCGTCTCAGAAGAATCAAGGTGGAGGTTTTCGTAAATGCTCGTTTTGGGGGCCTTCCTGAGGCCCACCTAACGGAGCTGTTCGACTCTAGTTCGGCCCAAGTTCGACTCAAGTTCCACTCAAGTTTGACTCAAGTTCGACTCAGCTTCGACTCAGCTTCGACTCAGGGTCGACTCAAATCGACGGACGTTCGACACAGCTTCGACGCACAAGTTGAGCGAATGTCTCCAGGAATGTCCCCAACGAGCATCCACGTTTTCGTCGTGTTCGGCCTCTAGGGGCATCGCCGGGCCTCCAGAGTGTCAACATGCGCCTCAGGACGAGAAGCGCGCCCCCACATTCAAAACATCAAGACGTCGGATGTCTGGGTAGAGCGGGCAGAAGTTAGGAGCCAAAACATGTGTGTGTGTGTTGAGAAAATGTGGTCCGCAATAACAGTTACACAGGCCTTGTAATGTGCCCTGGTACACGTCCAACATATACAGACATAAAGCTAGTATGAACGACATGTTCACATGTGATATCAGCCAGTAAGTTGAGCAACGAAACAAGAAGGATCCCTCCGTGGAATAGCGTCACGCCTGGAGACCCTGAAGGGGCCGGCAGACTTTACAAAAGACGAGTTTGATGGCCTATTTTTGAGCAACGGGCCCGGCAACCCCTTGATGTGTGAGGTCACGATCGGGCACGTCCGCGAGGTCATGCTGCGCCGGCCAACCTTGCCAATATTTGGCATCTGTTTGGGCAACCAGATCTTGGGGCTGGCATCTGGAGCCCAGACGTACAAGATGAAGTTCGGCAACCGCGGCATGAACCAGCCCTGCGTGGACATGCGCACCACGCGCTGCTACATCACTCCGCAGAACCACGGCTTTGCCATCGACAACGCGTCGCTGGCAGACGGCTGGATGCCGCTGATGATCAACGCCAACGACGGCAGCAACGAGGGAATCATCCACAGCAGCCGCCCATGGTTCTCTGTGCAGTTCCACCCCGAGGCGTGCGGCGGCCCCACCGACACGGCGTTCCTCTTCCATCAGTTCCTCACCAGCATCTCCAGCCCGACCCAGCTGGTGACCACGATCCCGTACTCGCCCCCGAAGGTCTATCGCAAGGTGCTCGTCCTCGGCTCGGGCGGACTCACCATCGGCCAGGCGGGCGAGTTCGACTACTCCGGCAGCCAGGCCATCAAGGCCCTTCGCGAGTCCGGCGTGTTCTCCATCGTGATCAACCCCAACATCGCGACCGTGCAGACCTCGTGGGGCTACGCCGACCGGGTGTACTTCCTGCCCGTCACCGTGGAGTTCGTGACGCAGGTGATCCAGCGCGAGCGCCCCGACGGCATCCTGTGCTCCTTCGGCGGCCAGACGGCGCTCAACTGCGGCATCCAGCTCGAGGAGGAGGGCGTGCTGTCCAGGTACGACGTCAAGGCCCCGGGCCGCCCCCGAAGCGGGACCGCGCCGCGCCGCCGAGGCACGGAGCCCGCTCGCTCCACCCCGACGCCGCAGGGCGTGCCGCCGATGCCTCGGCGAGGCGGCGCGATCCTCCGACCCAGTGCAGCGACGAAGGGAAACGGGTTCCACTGCGCCGACATTCGCGCGTAAGCTTCCCGCGTAAGTTCGCGCGTAAGCGCCCTCGCTTCCAGCGTGGCGTGCCGCGCAGGCGCCCCGCGCAAGCCGATGCGTAAGGTAGCGGTGCCTGCTCGCGCAAGACCCGCTTTTTCGCCGCTCAATTGTATCGGGGAACGAACAATGACCCAAGAATCATTTTCGGAGGTCTGCGCGGATTTCTCGCATCAGTGCTGGAGCTCCCCGGCACCTCCGAAAGTGTTTGTTTAATATCGTTGTTCGCTACCCTAGTGAACCTCTGACCCGTTCGGGAGGCCTCCAGAGGTGCTGGGAACACCGATCAAAGCAGTCATCACGACCGAAGACCGCGAGCTGTTCGCCAAGGCGGTGGACCACTGCGGATACAAGGTTGCCGAGAGCGCCTGCTGCACGACCGTGGAGGAAGCTGTGGCCGCCGCGGCAAAGATCGGCTATCCAGTGTTGGTCCGTGCTGCCTTCGCCCTCGGCGGCCTCGGCAGCGGCTTTGCGACGGAAGAGGGCGAGCTGAGACGCTTGGTGCATGTGGCGCTGGTGAACAGCCCGCAGGTCATCGTCGACAAGAGCCTGAAAGGCTGGAAGGAGCTCGAGTACGAGGTCGTGCGCGACGCGAACGACAATTGCATCACGGTGTGTAACATGGAAAACTTCGATCCCATGGGCATCCACACGGGCGACTCCATCGTCATTGCCCCGTCGCAGACGCTCACGAACGCCGAGTACTTCCGACTGCGGGAGTGCGCTCTGAAGGTGGTGCGCCATTTGGGTGTGGTGGGTGAGTGCAATATTCAGTACGCGGTAGACCCGCACAGCCAAGAGTTCCGCATCATCGAGGTCAACGCGCGCTTGTCGCGGAGCAGCGCGTTAGCGTCGAAGGCAACCGGGTACCCGCTCGCGTACGTCGCCGCGAAGTTGGCTCTTGGTGGCGACCTAGTGAGCTTGCGCAACAGCGTCACCAAGTGCACTACCGCTTGCTTCGAGCCAAGCCTCGACTACATCGTCGCGAAGGTTCCTCGCTGGGACCTGCGCAAGTTCTCGACGGTGGACCAGGAGGTTGGCAGCTGCATGAAGAGCGTAGGAGAGGTGATGTCCATCGGGCGCACCTTCGAGGAGACCATCCAGAAGGCGCTCCGCATGGTCGACGAGGCCTGCAAGGGCTTCGACTCCGAGCGCTTCGACCTCGAGCTGGCCCACCGCGGCGAGGACGCCACCCCGCACTTCGTCAGGGCAGAGCTGATGAGGCCTACGCCGACGCGGGTGTGGGCCATCGCGAAGGCCTTCGAGCTCGGCATGGACGTGGAGGAGGTCCACAGCCTGACGCGGATCGACCGCTGGTTCCTGTCGAAGCTCATGAACGTCCACGCCGTCAAGCACGCGCTGCAGACCCTCGACCTCTCTGGTCTCGCGGCCAGCCCGCAGCTGCTCCGCGAGGCCAAGCGGTGCGGTTTCGCGGACCGCCAGATTGCGCCCCTGTTGCACTTCCAGGACTGGAAGAACAAACGTCCTAAACACAACCGTTCGGAGCTCCGCGCGGATTTCTTGGACCTGCGCTGGGCCCCCCCTGGCGGCGGCTCCAGCGCTGCCCCTAGCGCGCGGAGCGTGCCAGGGATGAGGGTCCAGCGCCGGTCCAAGAAATCCGCGCAGAACTTCGAAAGTTTCGGTTTATGCCGTATCTTGTTCCTCGAAGGACGGCGTGGGCGCGCACGGCAAGTGGGAGTACCATGGCGGCCCGGTGCACGACTACCACGTCCGCGCCCTGCGGAAGAGTGCGGGCATCGTGCCCGTCGTGAAGCAGATCGACACCCTCGCGGCCGAATTTCCGGCGCACACCAACTACCTCTACCTCACGTACAGCGGCATCGAGAACGACGTGGACCTCGCCGGCCTCGGCTCTCACGAGGAGGACACAAGCCAGCCAGAGGCTCCAATCATGGTCATCGGCTGCGGCCCGTACCGCATCGGCAGCAGCGTCGAGTTCGATTGGTGCTCCGTGTCCTGCGTTAAGACGCTGCGAGGGCTCGGCAAGCGCGCAATCATCATCAACTGCAACCCAGAGACTGTGTCGACGGACTACGACGAGTCGGACCGTCTTTACTTCGACGAGCTCAGCCACGAGACCGTACTCGACGTCGCCGAGATGGAGCAGTGCGCCGGCATGATCGTGTCTGTCGGTGGGCAGATACCCAACAATTTAGCAATGCGGCTGCATCAGGCCGGCGTCAAGATCTTGGGAACATCGGTTGATTCGATCGATGCTTGCGAGAACAGGTTCAAGTTCAGTCAGCTCTGTGACACTCTCCGCATAGACCAGCCAGAGTGGTCCGAGTTCACGACCGTGGAGGAGGCCTTCTTCTTCTGCAATCGCGTCAGCTTTCCCGTGCTGGTGCGTCCTTCTTACGTGCTCAGCGGAGCTGCCATGCGAGTAGTGAACTCGGCTGGCGAGTTGGAGAGGTTCCTTCGGGCGGCGGCCGTTGTGAGCCGCGAGTATCCCGTGGTGGTGTCGAAGTACATCGCGGGGGCCAAGGAGGTCGAGCTCGACGCGGTGGCCCAGAACGGGGTGATGTTGAACTACGCCATCGCGGAGCACGTCGAGAACGCTGGCGTGCACAGTGGGGACGCTTCTCTGTTGCTTCCAGCGCAGAAGCTTTTTGTGGAGACACAGCGCCGCGTTAAGCAGATCGGGCAGAAACTCTGCAGGGAGTTGAATATCTCTGGTCCGTTCAACATCCAGTTCATCTGCAAAGAGAATGATGTTAAGGTGATCGAGTGCAACCTGCGCGCTTCCCGATCGATGCCCTTCATTTCGAAGACATACAACATCAACCTCATCGAGCTCGCGACTCGGGTGTTCCTTGGCATGCCTGTGCACCCGAAGCCAGTGCAGCCGATGGACATGGAGTACGTTGCGTGCAAGGCGCCCGTGTTCTCGTTCGGGCGGCTGAAGAACTCCGACCCGAGGCTTGGTGTGGAGATGCAGTCTACTGGCGAGGTGGCGTGCTTCGGAGTTAACAAGTACGAAGCCTTCCTGAAGGCGATGATCGCCACTGGCTTCAAGCTTCCAGCCAAAAACATTTTGGTGTCCATCGGCCCGAAGTCGCAAAAGCATGAATTTTTGGAAGTCGCCGACTTGTTCGTGGCCATGGGCTTCCAGCTGTATGCAACAAAGGGCACTCACGAGGTGCTCAAGAACCACGGCATCGAGTCCTGCATTTTCACGTTCAAGGCGCGCGTGAAGAGGGAGCCGAATGTGCTGACCCTGCTGCAGGGCGGCACCCTCGACCTGGTCATCAACGTGCCCGACGGTATGGACTCTCAGGCGCTCACGGACGGCTTCGACATCCGACGGGCGGCTATCGACAGCGGCACTTCCCTGATCACCGACATGAAGACGGCGGTGCTCACCGGTATGGCGCTGCACCGGAAGTGGGTGCGGGAGACGTCCGGGAGGGCGTTCTGGTCCTACAGCTCCTGGCAGGAGTACACCGAGCCGAGCGACATGCTGTCGGCGCACGGGGTCACGCCGGCCTGAGTCCTGGGGGAGAGGTTATCTCCAGCCCTGCATGGGGGTCTGCGGACCCCGCTGATCTAGGCCTCCTAGATGGGGTCGGAGTAGATGTGGTCGGAGGATCGAGCCGCATCGCCGATGCATCGACGATGCGGCTCGATGTGGAGCCCGATGTTCTCCACGCCGACGTCGCCGATCTGTCGCTGGCGTCGCCGATGCATCGCCGACACATCGGCGATGTGGCGCGATCCTCCGACCCGACCCCATCTACTCGGACCCCATCTAGGAGACCTCTAGCTGAGGTGGTGGGGCCCGTGGGTAGCCGCGGCCTTGCTGGGCACTCGGGGGAGGCCCGATCCGCGGTGCGTTTCTCAGCTGCGTCCGCGCTACGTTTCATGCCTTGAGCGCACCTGGGGGGTCACCAGGTTCGCTCACGGATACTTTTTTTTGCACGCTCCCTCCCCCTCTCCCTCCAGCCGCCCTTCCAATCATCGTCATCTTCCTCCTCCGACTCCTCTGCCTTATCCTCCTCGTCCTCATCCTGCTCCTCCTCATCGTCCTCTTTCTCATCCTCCTCCTCGTTCTTCCTCCCGTCCTCCTCGTCCTCCTCTTCGTCCTTTTCCTCGTCCTCCTCCTCGTCAAGCCATTCATGTGTTGCCGTGCGGGCATTGCCACTGATTCTCGCTTGCAGTTTCGCGGGGAGATGCGCTTGATTTGCCCACGTGGTGGTTCGGATTCGCTGCCTATTGGTGGGGCCAATGCCAAGGCAGCTGCGAGCGCTTCAGCTGGAACCCAAATCTCGGGTAATTTCTTTTCTGCGCATTTCGAGGTTGAGTACTTTAAGTACACTGTTTTCCATTCAAGTGCAACTTGATGGAATCCACCCAGGAGGCGGCCATGGTCTGGGTATTCATCATCATCATCGTTACCTCCACCTTTCTGCTTCCTCTCGTTATTATCCTCGTCATCGTCATTGTGCTCGTCCTAGTTGCCTTCCTCTTCTTGGACATAGTCCTCTTACCCGTATTTGCCATCGCGTCTTTTCCTGGCGGCGTCCATCCTTCTTCCTAGGAGCCTGGTTGTTTATTCTGGGCCGATGACGGCCGTCATCTGGGGGGGGGAGGGGGCCGATGACGGAGCGTTTCGCGCCCGCGGCGTCACATGTAGGTGGCGATTTGCACCACAGCGCTTGTCTACACAACAGTGCCTCCATGCACCACAGCGCTTGTGACACCTCACCACCTATGTACACCACAGCAGCCGCGTGCAACACAATGCCAGAGTGTGTCACAGTACTTGCGTGCATCACAGCGCGCGTGAAGTTACACCACAGCGCCGCGCCTGCGTACACCACATCAGCCATGCGCAGCAAAGCACCAGTGTACACCACAGTGCCTACGTGCACCACACCACGGTGCCTGTGTGCACCACAGCAACCGTGCGCAACAGAGCACCCGTATTGCATGTAGAATGTTCGAAGTAATCTTTATGACAAGCGGAGCGCCTGTGGATTCCACAGAAAAATATGTCACATAGATTCTGGAAGAGGTATCCTTATGGAAAAGTAAGCGCCGCTGGTACGAATCCTCCCGAGTCCTCCCGCATCATCCTAACGCCTCCCATCTGCGTCCAGGAAGCTCCCTCAGAATTGGCCGTCCGAGAACCAAGTGGACTGATTCAATAAACCATTCTGCGGTGCACGCTGAGATGCGCACTTGCGGTGTAGCGCCGACCAGGACGACGGGGGGAAGGGTGAGGGAGGAAAAGGGGCAGGAGGAGGAGGAGCAGGAGGAGGAGGTGGAGGAGGAGGGAGGAGGGAAGAACATCGCATTCTATATTACCTACATGCTCCTTCTGCCTGTCCTGTGCACGCAGACGCTGCGGTGTATACCAGCGCTGCGTTGCATGCGGATGTTGTGGTGTACGCAGGCGCTGTGGCGTGCACAGGCGCTGCGGTGCACGCGAGCACTGTAATGTTCACACGCGCTGCGTTGCACACGGCTGTTGCGGTGTACTCAGGCGCTGTGGTGTACACGCGCGATGTGGTGCACGGAGCACTGTGGTGTACGTAGGCGCTGTCGTGCAGATTGCCACCTACATGCTGCTCCCATGTGGCCTCGGTCATCCCTAGGCCTTCCCGGACGCCGCTGGCGCACAACGTGACGTCACCTCGGAAGGGTGGAGGGGGCGGGGCCGATGACGGCTGTATTTTGGAACATAAAAAAAGCAGGCTCTAGATATCATCTTGCTTCGCTGGGCAGATCCTCGTCTGAGTATGGCTCGTCGTTGTCATCAGCGACCTCATCCTCACCATCCCCAAATCTCTTCCCCATCATCATCCCTCCCGATATATGGGCATCACAATTCATACGCCAGGCACTCCTTCGAGGCAACTTGTTTTGAAGGAGAACATTTGCCACTGAAGGCAAAGGAGCGTCGGAAGAAAACGGGGTCGATTGTGCTGGCATTCGCGCGTAAGCCGCCCGTGTAAGGTCGCGCGCAAACACCCCCAATACCAACGTAGCGTGCCGGGTTGGTTGCCTGCGTAAGCCACTGCTTACGGCCGCTATGCCATCTCGCGGAAGACCCAATTCGTATCGATCGTCGTTCAGGCATGTGTTGCATGCAGACCGAGTTTTTGGCCGTCAGGAAAAGATGCGCCCTCAGTGAAAGAATGCTTCAATGAAATCATCATTGCTTTCCGTGGAAAGTGTTTGTCCTACAGTGGAAGCCCATGCCAAGAAACACCCTGCTTGCCTCCAGGGTGCCCTGGGTTGATTGGGTTTCGATGGTTTTGCTGTGGAAAGCGCGACGCTCCTCCACCAAAAAACAATGGATGTCCTGGGGCCTCAGGGTTGGATTTCTTGTGGTCGAGCTCCTACTGCAAACAAATCGGCTGCCTGGAAACATTTCGTTGCCTTCGGGCCGCCTGGCCTCCGGGGGCGGCGGTGGACGCCGCCTGCCCTCGCCTCCCCCTTCCGTTATCTCTGTAGGCCTCCTAGATGGGGTCCGAGTGGATCGCTATTTGTAGGCCTCCTCCAGGCATCCCCTGTCGCTCCCGTTACGTCCAGTCCTCCTAGATGGGGTTCGAGTAGATCGTTATCTCCAGGTCTCCTCTAGGCTTCCTCCCGTTATCTCTAGGCCTCGCAGATTCGACGACGAAAAAACGGTTCATAAGTTGTTGGCGCTCCGCGCGGATTTCTTGGATCTGCGCTGGGCCCCCCTGGCGGCGCGCTCCGCGCGCCAGGGAGGTGGGTCCGGCGCGGATGCGAGAAATCCTCGCGGAGCGCCAAACGTTTATGTTTACGCACTTTCTCTCCTTCTATATCTCTAGGCCTCATAGATGGGATTGGAGGATCTCGCCGTATCCTCGATGCATCGGCGATGCGGCTGGATGTGGAGCCCGATTATGTTTACGCTGGCGTCGCCGATGCATCGCCGATGCCGCCGATGCATCGGCGACCCCCCGAGGCCTCTATTTTATCGTTGCGTGATATCCGACCCACCTAACTTGCGGTTAGAGTTTGGAAGTCGCCGCGGCGGTCGCGGCGGCCACAGGTGTTTTTTCAAGGAGTGGCATGCCCCTTCCCGCCTCCGCCCCCAGCTCTTCGATGCAGACGTGGTTCATCAGGAATCACCTAGCGACAGACAGCTGCCAGTTCTCGCCCAACAGGGGCAGCCGTGCTTTTTTGGTCAGGGGTCGATCATTACACAACCACATTACAGTCAAAGCGCACAGGAAGGATGAGCGACTTCCCAAGCCTCCCCTTGCATCCTTCCCCTTCGGCTCATCCTTAGCCACTCTCGCTGGCCGCGCCCCGCTCGACAATCGTCAACATGACATTCCAAGGCCCTTGCATCTTTGTCGTGCGTCTTTGTTATTCGCGTTGACTGTAGGCATGAGTTCGAGTAGGAGGCCGACTACACAATTGATTTACCCCAGTGATGATCGCCCGTCGAATCGATTCAAACTACATGGAATGCCAGCAGATCTACGGAACATTCGACGTTGTAGATTCGACGAACAACTATTTCCGGGCAGATGAATTCTGTAGTCGATCCCCTGCCTGTCAGGAGCGAAAGAAAGCTGTAATCCGAACATGAATCCGCGTTGGTCTCGAGAGTACGCATGGCGCGAGCATTCGTATCACGAGGCTGGTCTCGCGGGCTGGGGGGCCGTCTTCATGTATGTGGCTGGTCGCGTACCCATCGGTCGTTGAAAGTAGGTATTTCTGGATTCCCATATTCCGATTTTACTTTAAGCGATTTCATTTTTCAATGATCGAGTGGTTTCACCTTTTCCGTCCTCCCGAGGGGGCGGACGGAACCCAATCTATTTTCAGCGCCTTCCTACTTCATGTTTCTACCTACTTCTTCCGACCGATGGGTATTCATGTACAGTGGAAACACATGCCAAGAAACACCCTGCTTGCCTCCAGGGTGCCCTGGGTTTCTTGGGCTTCGACGGTCTTGCTGTGGAGAGCGCGACGTTCCTGCACCAAAAGACAAACCGATGGACCTCCTGGGGTCTCAGGGTTGGCTGTCTCGTGGAAGGCTCCTCGTGGTCGAGCTCCTGCTGTGCGTGGCGGGGCGCGTACGTCGTCTGTGAGCTCCCCAGCTCGATGCCCGGTGGTCCCCGGGATCCGCGGCCGCGCGCGAGCCGCGCGCAGGGCGGCCGCGTGCCCCATGCCCCCTCCCCCCCGAGGAGGCCGCCGGGCGAGGGCGCAGCAGCCGGCGCACGAGGTCGCTCTCGGAGGACCGGGGGCCACGGCTTCGGCTGATGGGCAGGTCTGCCCCCACCACTGCCACTAATGCAGGACGGGGGGGAATGGAGGATGAGGAGGTCCTCCTCATCCTCCTCCTGCTCCTCCTGCTCCTCCTGCTCCTCCTTCTCCTCCTGCTCCTCCTCCTCCTCCTCCTCCTCCTCCTCCTCCTCCTCCTCCTCCTCCTCCTCCCTCCCCCTCATCCTACCTATGGTAGTGGTGGTGGAAGATGAGCATCATTCGGCAGCCGCTCTCGGGGGCGGCCAAAACCGACTACAGTGGAGGCGCGCCTCAAGAAACCAGCTGATTTTCGCAAGGGTATCCCAGGTTTCTTCGATCCGCGCGCTGCGTGGTGGCCTCCCGCGGCCGCTGAGAAGTTGCTGCGAAGTTCAGGGTGCTCCAGGTTTCCCCTCAGGTGTACCTCGTGCGCGGGTTTTCAGGGTTGGGTGTCTTGCGATGGTTTCTTGCGACCGCGTCCGCAGTGTACACGTAAGAGTGACCCTTCGCCGGAGTGACCTTTGGTGCGGGCCCACGGGGGCCCCCCCGATCGCTGAGCGCGATGCGGTAGCAGCAGCCTGCCGGCATGTGTTTGGCCACCTCGCGCCCCCCTCAGCCGCGCACCACAGGTCACTCTCGCCCAGGGTCACTCTTGCGTGTGGCCGACAAGAGGGGGCTCATGTGGATCGTCTCCTCCGACTCGATCCGACTCGACTTCGATGGTTTCCGACTCCGATTCGATTCGATTCCGGGTCGCGATGTCGATTCCGGTTTCTCAGTGGAGACCTACTAGCCTGCCGATTGTGAGGGCCTGACGGCCAGTGCCGCCGACCCTGAAAGATATCGACGACGTCCACCAGGAGGGGGAGGAGGAGGAGAAGGAGGAGGAGGAGGAGGCGGAGATAAGGAGGAGGAGGAGGAGGAGGAGGAGGAGGAGGAGGAGGAGGAGGAGGAAAAGGACTCCCCCCTGGGACCCCCCACCCTGGGGAGGAGGACCTGAGGAGGACCGGCGTGGGAGAGGGGAGGGGAGGGGGAGGAGGACTTCTAGGGACGGATGCGTATCTGACTCCCCTCCCCCCCCTGGGACTCCTCCCCACCTGGGGAGGAGGACCCGAAGAGCACCGGCGCGCCAGAGAAGGTCCGGCGTGGGAGAGGAAGCTCCCCAGCGGCGATGGGAATCTGACCCCCCCCCGGGACCCCCCCCCGCCGGGGAAGGGACAAAGGGAAGGGGCTTCAATTTCGACGTAATGAGGAGGTGCATGGAATTCCCTCAAACTGCGAACCCGTTCCCCGAACGAGGAAGGGTCTTCTCGCTCTCTCTCTCTCTCTGTCTCTCTCTCTCTCTCCCCCGACGGGAGAGGAGGATGGGCAGGAGGGGACGAAAGAAGGCTCCCCGTCGACGGGACTGGACATACCGATCCGATTCATGCCGATTGACGATCCGATGTATCGAATCGGATTCGAGTCTGGGCTCTCCTGAAGAGGGCTGTGACGGTAGGGGCTTGGCATCGCTCGGGCGTGTGCATGTTTTCTTTGGCGTGGACCATCGAAGAGCATCCGGGACCAGCTTGCGGAACAAGACGCACGAAGCCTAAGACCCGTTTTGAGTTGTGGCTGTCTCAATACGACCTGCTCCGAGCATCCGCGCCTGTGTCTGTCAGTGTGTGCGCGGCTGCCGCCTGGAGGGTTTGCGGCTTCTCTCGCGCATCCGCCCTCCCGGTGGCTTGTCTGCGTTCCCTTCGTCTGTTTCGTCGCCTCGTCTCATCTCTTCCTCTTTCTCCTGTGGTGTTGCCTGTTTAACATGTGGCCGCAGTGAGCCGCAAAGGTTGTGTGGGCCTAAGTTGCTGCCTGCTTTCCCAAGCCACCCTTCCGTGCTTGGGCTCACCTGCGGCAGGTTGGCCAGGGATCTGCTCAAGCTGGCTAGGCGTTTCCCTCCACATCTTCCTCCATGAGTCCCCTCGCTCCTGCTCCTTCTCTACTGTCTCAGGCGCCTACCTGCCATTAATTGATTGCTCAAATGGGGAAACATCCGAAGAAACGTAAACGTTGGAAGGTCCGCGCGGATTTTTGTAGATTTGCGCAGGGCCTTTCTGGCGGCGCCTCCGACGCCGGCGTTGGTGCGCTCCGCGCGCCAGGGTGGGGTGGGCCCAGCGCCGATCAAGAGATCCGCGGGCACCTGAGAGAATGGATGTTTATCCTGTTCACTGCTCCTCCAATCAAGGGAGGAAAAAACACCCCCGACCCCGACAATTGGCGTTTACTGAACGGCCCTGGGCGTTCACTAAGTAGCCCTGCCCTGTTCGATTCCTTCCTTTGATGCGTTTGCTAAACAGCCTCTCTTGTCAGGGTGTTTGTTGTGGGGGGATTTTCTGCTCTCTATCCAATGGCTTGCCCAGCGGAGAGGGGAGGAGCAGGATGACATCGAAGGTGGGGAGGACGGAAGGAGGAGGCGAGGGAGCCGTAGAGGAGCAGTTGTCGCGTGTCTTCTGGCAGCTCCGCAGCGACAGGGAGGAGGATCAGCTGCGCTCCGAATGCTGGCACCTCAGCGACAAGGACGCCCGGATTTGCAGCGGCGTCCGTGGTTGGCTCCTGTCGATCGTGCGTCGTTGTGGGTTCCGTTGTTCGAAGAAGGGAAGACGGCACAAACATAAACTTCTGGCGCTCAGCGCGGATTTCTTGGATCCGCGCTGGGCCCCCCCGGCGGCGCCTCCGGCACCGCCCTTGGCGCGCTCCGCGCGCCAGGGAGTGGGGTCCAGCGCAGATCCAAGAAATCTGCGCGGAGCGCCAAAAGTTTATGTTCATGCCGTCTTGTCTTTCTCTGTTTGCAGTGGCGTCCGTGGCTGGATCCAGTCGACCGCACGTCGTCATGGGTTCCGTTGTCAGTCTCCTGTGGTTCCTTTCACTTTTGCTGCTGGGCTTCTGCGCCCCAGCCAGCGCGGACTCTGTCCGACCAGATCTTGTTTGCTCTCATGCCATTTCTTTTCCGATAATGCTTATTTTCGCTCTGCTCCCAGTAGTGCGTTATCTTGCGTTTCTCGTGCTCGTAGCTTATTTGAGTTCGTAAGTTGCTATCGGCTTGCCTTCAGCTGCATCGTATTCTCACTTCGCCAGCAGGATGCATTCAGCGTTCCTGCAGCATGCCTGCAGCATGCCTGCAGTATGTTTCTCCATTGAGACTTTGCTCAAGGGTCTTTACTCCAGCCCAGAGCGTGTGGCAGTGAAACCCTGATGTCTTGTTATTGGGTTTCTTCCCTCTGATTTCTTTCGTTTTGTTTTGATGCTCTTGACTCTGAACTGGTTCGCAGTGCATCGCATTGACGTGATGCATTCCTGTGCGCTGTTGTACATTGTTTGTCATTACGATGCTTTGCTTCGCCTTGCTTGTAGTTTGTTTGTTTGTCTTGCACTGTTGTGCATCGGGTTGTGCTGCATTGTCTCTCATCGCTTTGCTCCGCGTAGCGTCACATGGCATGGCATATTATCACATATTCGTTGTCACGCTTTCCTTTGCATTGCACGTCGTTGCATTTGCATTGAGTTGCATTGTATGTTTATTGCATTGCGCTGCAGCGCACCAATTCCAAGCAAAGCGACTCGCATCAACGCCGTAACATGTGAGATTGCCGCCTCTGCACACGTTTTGACATTATATTGATCTAAGCTTCAGCTTGTCTTCAGTCCCCAACTAGGCTTTGCCGAATGGGTCTTCGTTCGTTTGCGCAACAGGTCCTGTGGTCTGAATGGTCCCTGCGTCGTTCGTGCCAGAGGAGCTGTGACCCCGTCGCCCTGGTTCTATGGACGCTCCCCCCCTCCCAGCACCCTCCCCCCCACGCAAACATATATACACAAACTTTTTGAATCCAGCGGCCGGGTGACATCACTGCAGCGAGAACTAACTCGGGGCACGCGTAGCGTCAATTCCGCCTCGCGTTGCAGATGGGAGGACTACGCCAGGCTAGTCACGTGCAGGAACAGATGGTGACGGCTGCGCTGTTCGAGCACAATATGGAAAACAAGACGTGCACCCTGCAGGGAAAGACTAGTGAACAGGTGAAGGGAGAAGCCGAGCATGCCAGCCTGGCCATTACGCGGATGCAAGGGCCGAGACACGCGCAACTGGTTGGTGAAAGCGCCATCAACGTAACGCACTTTTTTTTCGCGAGCGTCGCGGTCCAACCGCGCGCCGTCCGAGAACGCGCGACTAACGAGCAGCGGGCTAAATTAGGCCCTCAACAGCAGGAGCGGGCTACGCTGCCACTCAGGTGGCGAACAGTACGCCGAAGAACAGGTAGTTCAAGCCGGAGCCGACGAGGACCAGGAGGAAGGCCTAGCAACGTAACACACGCGCACACGCGCTAGCTCCTCAAGGACCCCTCTTCCGTTTTGAATTGTGTTGTTTGCTTGCGCATGTGCGGTTTCGATTGAGTTGTTTCGAAATGCATTGCTTTGCATTGATGTCTATTGCGTTAGTTTGCTTAGCAGTGTGTCGCTGTGTTCTGAATTTCGATGCAGTCGTGTGCTTAGGAGAGCGTTTTCTCTTCCCGGGCGATAATGGGCGTTATTGGGAGGGCGGGGGGGAGGGGGCCAGTCACGTTTCGCGCCAGCGCCGTCTGGGAATGCTAAGGAACAACCACAGGCAGTTCGGATAGCAGATACCCATAAGGATCTGCTACAGCAGATACATTGGGGCCTGCCGCGGCAGCGCGCCTCCCTACTCCGTCTCTTCCCGTTCTTCCTCCTCCTTAATTTCCTCCTCCTCTTCGCTCCTCCCTTATCCCTCCTCATTATTCTTCCCTTCGTCGTCGTCGTTTTCCTGCCTCGTTGGGAAAAGCGTTCCCAGCAAAGCGGGACATTTGTCTTACGTGTTTCTTACCAGGAAGTTGTATACATCATGTGGCCAGCCTGGGCGAAAGCTGGATGCCTTTCCAGGGGTCGGCCCTCAGGTGGCTATGTACGCCAGCCATCCGAATGTGTATCCGGCAACTGTCCTCCGCATGTTCCGCGCGTGGTTCCAGCTGCGTGTGTGTTCCAGCCTCCTGCCAGCCTGAGATTCTCGATCGGAAACCGATCATTCAGAACAAATCTGCAGTGCGCTGTTGGTAAAGTTGGGTTGGATGTGGCCCACAGATATCTCATGGGCTTACGCCATTCCGCACGCCTCCGGTGCCCCCCAGCGAAGCGGTGCGCACGTTGATGCGCAGTGAAGGGCAGTGCAGCGCAAAGCGGAGGAATAGGACGACAAGTGGAAGAGCATGAGGAAGATGGAGGGGCGGACGACAACGACGAGGCCAGCTCCCCCTCTCGGGCCCAGTGGCGCCCAGACCCCTCCTGGCGCACGACTCGACAACAGCAGTGTAATCAAACTGGCCCCGCCCGCCTCGCGCCCTGCCTCCTTTCGATTCCCCCCCTTGATTCTTTTGTCGTTGCGCGAAGCACCTTGCAATGCAAGGATGAGGACAAGGGCGACGAGAGGAGAAGGAGGGAGTGCAGGAGGAAGCAGAGGACCGAAGGGATAGGATAGAGCAACCGGTATTCGATCCCCAGCAGTCCCCTACGCCTCGCGGAGCTATCCGTATCTATACATCGAAGGTCTTTGCGCATCCATAGCATGGTGCACGCTCTGCCGTAGCAGATCCCATCGGTATCTGATCTTCGAGATTTCTTGATTATTCTTAGGGGTTCCAGACGGCGCCAGCACGAACCGTGACGTTAAAAGGGGGGGTATGGCCGGGGCTGGTACCGACCGCTAGTGCGAAACATGTACAACGCAGTCGCAGAGAATTGATTCGTACTGATTCGCCTCAGTTGGTTCACGTTGCTTTCAGTCGTTCTGCATTGGGTTGCATCGCATTGCTTTGCGACAAGCGCCGTTGCATTCCTGTATGGCGCAGTGCGTCGCGTTGCTCTATATTGCGCTACGTTGCTGCGCGTTTGATCGTATTGCGTGTGATTTGTTTGATGCGGCGTGGTGTGCGTGGCAATCCGTGGAACTGCGTTACAAAAGATGCGACTTCCATTGCATCGGGATGGTCTGTTGTGTTGCATAGCTTTCAATCGCGGTGCTATGCTTTACTTTCGTTGTTGTACGGTGGTAGGAATGCCAAACAAGCGCTGGTCTCACAGGATATGGCTGCGAAGTTAATTAGCCATGAGTTTGCAGCAAAACATAGTTGCGTCTTGCGCTGATCGGGGATTCTCTATATTTTATTTCAATGCAGTCCTCGGCATTACATTGCTGTGCGTTGCGTTGGATTGCACTGCTGTGTTTCGCCTCGCTGTGTCACAATGCACGCGCCTTGCGTCCGCAGCGCATTGAATTGCACTGCTGCATTGCAAGCTTCTATCAAAGCAAGGCAGAACAGCTAACTTCAGACCTGCGACATATGTTGTTTTCAAACGGACTGAGGCTGCTCCACCACGGGGCCGCGCAAGGCTCAATCTGTTGTCTGTAGTTGGTGTTGTCTTGCCGCTAGTGTCGGGCTGACTTGGCTAGTTCGGCGTTTCGCTAACTTGTCATTTGCGTTAGCTTCCCGTTAGCTCGCGTGTAGCTTGCGCTTGGTGCGGTAGGTGTTGTGCCCGCACCGTGTTATTTACCTTTGCTTGTGATGCCGCCCATCTTGATGTTCGAACGGTGACAGCGGTCCGTTTGCTCGCGTTGGTTTGTTCGGTGCATCGTGTCTTGAGTGTCCATGCAGACTGTTATCATCAATCCTGCGGTTGTTTGGGTTGTTGTCGCTCGCTCTCTGTCTGGTTGTTTGATGTATTCCGTGTAAGTTTCAGTTGGTTTGATGGCGAGTTTGGCCGTGGCCTGTCATTTTTCTTGCTTTGCACGTGCCGTTAGTTCGCGCAGCGTGCTGGACACACCCCGTTAGCATGGTGTTAGCGTGCTTGATCGTGCGTGTTATGTGGCATTCAGCGGCTTGAGCAACCTAGTTGTTTAGCGTCAGTGTGTAGCCATTGGTTTACATGTTGGTGTTGTTTGTGCTGCGAGCTTGGCGTGACGACCGCTTTGCGTATCGCTTGTCTGTAGTTGAAGTTATGGTGTGTTGCCGTTCGCTTTGAGCTTGCTCTCAGCCTACCGGGCTCTTGCCTCAAGCTTGCGCTTGGCCTTTGCTCGCCCGTCGTATGAATTAGTCGTTGAAGCGGTATTCGATTCGGCGTGTTGGAAATCATGTGCCGTGTTGCGTTACAGGCCACAACAAGACAAACAACGATGTGTGGTTTGTTGCGTTGGGAGTTCTGATGCTTAAGCGTTCCCAGAACGCTGGATTGCGTTGTGCAACATTTCCTTCTACGACGTCCTCAGTTCTTTCTCCCTGCGTTTAGTCTTCCCGTTCGTATTACTATTATTATTATGATTCGTATTGTTATGGGTGTTCCGTTTGCCATTATCCGACCGTCGTTGTTGGTTGGTCGTTGGGTTTTTGGCCTTGTTTCGCGCTGGTGTTAGGGCGTTTCGTGGTCTTTTCCATAGTTGTGCTTTGCATAGTAGCTCTGCGCGCGGATCGGGAGGAATGGGAGAGCGGCAGCGAAGACGGCAGGGAAGACACGAAGCAGCTTTGGACAAGAAAGCAACAGTGGCAGTGGTGATCCACAGCGGTGGGCCCAGAAACGGGAAAGAATTTCTAAAACAACGTAGCGTGTCGGTTAGCGCTTGTAGCCATGTCAAGAGCCCAACATTCAAATCGATAAAAGAAAGCCCAGAGCGTTCTCAGGGTGAACCAAGCCCGTGGCACATGTGTGGTTGGCATGTTTGTGTCGCTTGAGTGTGCATTTAGTTTGCAGTTCGCTTGGGCTTGTGGTGTTATCAAGCTAGCTTTCCACAGCATTTTGTTTGTTGCAGTTGTTGTCTTGATATGAGAATGTCTGAAGAAACTTCGATGTGATAGATTGAAGATCGACCTCGTCTTAGCTTGAGCTTGTGTCAGCTGCTACTTCTTATGTGTTATTCCTAAGGTGGTGGGTCCTCGGTTTGAAGAGGCCGCGCCCCGCGTCTCCTCACTCACTCCTCCTTCTCCCCCTGCTCCCCTCCCTGCCTCTGCTCTCTCGCATGCCCATTTCGGCGCACCATTCACATGTTTCGTGGCCACATAGGGTGCTCCGCCGAAGGCCCCAGTGGCAGGGTCCGCATGCAGTTCCACCTCATCTCGGCACACCCCTCACACGTTTCGTGGCCCCATGGGGTGCTCCGCCGAAGGCCCCAGTGGCAGGGTCCGCATGCAGTTCCACACCCCCATTTCGGCGCACCCCTCACACGTTTCGTGGCCCCATGGGGTGCTCCGCCGAAGGCCCCAGTGGCAGGGTCCGCATGCAGTTCCACACCCCCATTTCGGCGCACCCCTTCCGCGGTCCCATAGGGTGCTTCGCCGAAGGCCTCAGTGGCAGTGTCCGCATGCAGTTCCACCTCATTTCGGCACACCCCTCACACGTTTCGTGGCCCCATAAGGTGCTCCACCGAAGGCCCCCGTGGCAGGTTCCGCGAGATTCCCGACCAACAAAGCCCTTTACAGCATTAGCGGATCGCTCATACGCAGACCGCTCCGATCAAGGTTTTTACAGATGATTTGGGCGTATGCCCTGCCTGTGCAACCAATTTTTTGGAGCGGCACAGGGTCATACGACATGTATCTGATAGCCGCCGCCCGGCCTGCCGCACCCACATCATGGCGACTCTGCCATTGCAGAACCCAGAGCTGGTTGCTGCATGGGAGGCCCGCGACAACAAACGAGTCAGGCTAGCCAGACGAGCTGGCTCGACCCACATCCTTGCGGCCGGCCAGGCGGTTACAGCCGCAGGCCGACACACACGACGTGCAACAAAATAGCCGCCACATGTTCGAATCACTTGAAGCTCCTTCTGGGAGTCCCTTGCTAAACAAAAACGTACCTGGATGCTTGGAACCTCGCTTTGAACGTTATGTTTCAGTGGTTGGGGAGCTCTGAGCCTGTTTGAGACATTTCGCGCGCGACTGTGTTCGAACATTTGGAGGACTTGTCATAGGGGCTTCGGTGTTTCAAGTCTGTCATCACTTACTGTGCTGAAGCTTACGCGAAGCTTCAATACATATTATGTGTTTCACTTCTTCTTAGCAGACTCTTGCTCAATTGCAGCTTGCCTTGCCAGCCTGCCATCATATCGATTGCAGCCTGCTTGAACGCCCCTCCGTAAAGGAAACGCAATTCAGACAGGGAGTGTTTCAGGTTCATGTGTCCCTTGTGCCTGGCGGGTGACGGCAGACGTGGGTGGGCTGGAACGGAAGAGCAGGGAGGGCGCCAGCTCCCGGCCTGTTGAGGAAGCCATCTGGAAAACCGCGGATGCCGCACGGGAGGCGTCGGGACGCCCGGGGAGCTTTCGCAGAGTGGGGTGGCGCACACGGCTGTTTGTGGGGACCAGACCACCCCAGCCCAACCCGAGGGCCCCAATTTGCCCTCCGTTCCCAGTGGTGGGGGGTGGGGGGGGAACATCGAAAGAACACATGTAGGACCCGCCCCCCCCCCAAACTCGAAATTTGGGTCTTCGGGTTAGGTTGGGGTGGTCTAGTAGGCAGTCAGAGGAGGTGTGGGCTCGGCCAGAAAGCAGTCTCAGAGTCGTTGTCACGCGCCTCCACGTGCCAGGGGTGGTACGGCGGCGGATCTCCTCGCCCTCGTCCGCCTCCCTCCTCGCCCGCGCCCCTCCGCCCTCCCCGTCCTCGTCCACCTCATCCTCCCGTCCTCGTCCGCCTCCTCCCTCCTCGTCGGCTTCCGCCCTCCTCTCTCCTCGCCCCTCCTTCTCGATCCTCTCCCTCCCCCGCCTGCCGGCCGACAGGAGTGAGCGCCACCTCCAGACCTCTGGGCCAGGAGGGGGCGCCGCCCCCCCGGCTGCCGGGGTATAGCACGGGGAGAGCGGCGAGGAGAGGTGGAGCAAGCGGAAGGGGGGCGAGGAAGGGAGGAATCGGGAGGGGGAGGTCGCCATGGAGGAAATGGGCTCGGGTTCGAGGCTCGAGGTCTTCGGGCGTGTTCGGCAGGTCTCGGCGGCTTTACAGCCTCAGGGTGCTTCACAGCAGATGCGCCTCGCCGAGGCTGTTCTGGGGGTGCCTGGCTCGTCCCGAACGGCCAGCGGAGACTCGACTTATGACCCAGAAACCGTTCGCGGGGGGAACGTGTCCTGAGGCAAACGGGTCTAGAGGTTTTCCGCCGTTTTCGGGCTCTCGGGGCCCTCCACGGGCCCCGGGACTGTCAGAAAAACACCTAGGATGAATAACTCATCCTGGGAAGGCCTGAGGGTCCAGGACCCGTTTCTTTAGGCCTCCTGGATGGGGTCCGAGTAAGCGGGGTCGGAGGATCGCGCCGCATCGTCGATGCATCGGGACCCGCTTCCCCCATGCCGAGGGAAGGGGGTTTGGGGGCGCTCGAGCGGCGAAGGAGTGGGAGGAGGGCGAGGGGTGTCTCGGATGTAGCCTCCGGGCGGCGGCGGGCCTCTCCCACACGTCGGCCCCTGGGGCAGGGGCGCATGGTCAATGTGGGGGCGCCGGCGAGGACGAGGAGAAGAGGGAGGAGGAGGAGGAGGAGGAGGAGGAGGAGGAGGAGGAGGAGGAGGAGGAGGAGGAGGAGGAGGACAACGACGACGAGTACGAGAAGGAAAGTGACGAGGGAGACCAGGGCGAGGATGTGGAGGATAGGATTGGCAATGGCTCGCAGGAGAAGGGTGATGGCCAGGATCAGGGAAAGGATGGGAACAGCAGCGGGAAGCTGAGGATGAGAGCGGTGGGAGTCAGGGCTTGAGGAGGAGATGATGAGAGAAAGGAGAGAGTGGAGTAGTAGGCAACGGTAAGAGGGATGGCGAGGAATAGGGGGGATGATGATAATGATGATGATGATGATGATGATGATGATGATGATGATGATGATGATGATGATGATGATGATGATGATGATGACGACGATGATGATGATGACGACGATGACGATGACGATGACGATGACGATGACGATGACGATGAGATGGCGGATGAGGAAGAGAGGAGGAATGCCGAGGAGGAACAGGAGGAGGAGGAGTTTGGACTATTACCTTGGGATGGTGAGAGGATGGAGGAGGCTGAGGAGGGAACGGAGGAGGAGGGGCCAGAGCAGCAACACAGGTAGCGGGGAGAACAGAAGCGAACAGTAAGAGCATCGAGATGGTCTGCCATCCCTGATGTGCTTGAAGACTCGCCCACCTGCCCAGTGAGCGTCGGACCAATAATATCTTGTCGCATGATGCGCACTTGACAGATCGCGGCCGCGGTTTCTTGCAGACTCGCCGAACGATCGCGGCAGGTTCGCTTGAGGTCGTGTGGGTTGAGACGTGCGGTAGTGTTTACGACAAATGCTCTGGAAGCCGCATTGCATGAGCAGATTTCAGCATTGCCCTTGCAATGCATACATATATATATATATATGTATATATATACATATACACATACATAAAGAGAAAGAGAGAAAGAGAGAGAGAGGAACACTACATGAATACGTACACACATATATTTGACAAAGCTTGCTGATCAATGATATGCAGAAGACCGAAACACGCCGTCACCGATCCATAGTTTTTCCTGGCTCGAGCCCCTCCGCGGGGCGGAGGAGAAACGGGCCGGGGCGGCCCTTTGATGCTGGCTCATCTTGCCCAGGCCGCCGTGTTGGGGGTGGCCAACCTGGGCGGCGCGTGGCTGGGGAAGTGCCAGCCCCCGCCGTGCCCGGTGGCGCCTCCGTGTCCAGCGGCGGCGGCCTGCCAATGCCCGCCGGCGCCGGCTCTCACTTGCCCGCAGGTGAGCGTCACCTGCCCGGCAGCGCCGGCCGCGGAGGCCCCCACCTGCCCCGCGGTGCCGCCAGCGCCGCCGTGTCCGCCGGCCCCCGCGTGCCCACCGTGCGACGGGCGGGGCGAGCGCGGGTGCGCCTGAGGCGGAGAGCCGGCACGAGTGCTGGCCCGAGACGCAGGTGGCGCTGAGCTTCGTGTGCTTGCTCGGCGGGCTGGCGGTCCTGGTCGGATTCGTGCTGGGATCGTGATGCGCGAGACGCCATGCAGCAGCTTCGACGCAATCCTCAGGGTACTCTTCACCTGGCCGGCCGCAGCTGCCTGGTGAACTACGGGGCCCCCGAGTGGCACTGGCGGATAGTGCTCGCAGGTCTGGTGTCCTCGGACTCCCAGGCCCTGATATTGACGCCGGATGGTGACATGTACATCGAGGACTTCAATGAGGCCGTTGCGGTGCGATGGCTAGGGCCCAACAGTGAGGTCCCTGAAGGAATCCCTCGGCAGCTGATCTACCACTTCGGGGAGTTCCCGTCGACGGCCACCCTCCGCTGGCTCATGCAGGAGGGCGCCTACACCGCGGGCCTGGAGGACCAGCGGCGCGGGTTCGGCGTGGCCGTGTGGGGCGCTGGGGGCGCCGCGGATGCTGCAGCTGGTGGGGCGGCCGCGGGCCCTGGCGGTGGCGCCGGCCGCGTGGCGGCGGGAGCTCCCGCCTTCGTGCCGGCGCAGCCGCCGGCGCCGGGGGCCCCCGGCGGCGGGGAGGACGATGGCCCAGGCCCGGCAGCCCTCCAGGGGCGGATGGGCGTGGGCCGGGACTTCAGGCCTCCCGCGCGGCCGACCGTGCAGCCGGTGTCCGTCCACACGGTGCGCTGGGTGGCCGCCGAGAGCGTCGAGTACCCTGGCGGGAGCGTGATCCGCGGCGACGACGTGGCCTTCAACGGCTCCGAGCTCGTGGCGGGCCGCAAGGGGGTGATCGTGCTGATGGGCGAGCCCGTGCTGATCGAGGACATCGGCGACGGGGACGTCGAGGCCTATAGGTCGAAGGAGGCCCGCCATGACGCGAGGCTGCTCCAGATGCAGAGGGACTCGCGAGGGGCTCGGCATCGGCCATGGCGCGACGTGGCTCGTGACGTGAGCGCGGTGAAGCAGGGCGACTGGCCGGTGCCGGGCCCTCGGACGGCGGAGTGGTGTGTATACGCAGTTCCTCGACCGCCGCAGCGAGGGTCCCATCGGTTGGGATCGGCGCTGGCGGGCGGACAATCGGCTCAGCCTCGACCAGTGGGGCGTGCCGGAGCATGAGACCGTGCACGGCGAAGATCCTGGAGCGCCTCGGGACCCGCGACCAGTGCGACGTCGTGAACTTGGCGAGCGCCGAGGACATCCTGAGGCGCATGCAGCTCATCGGGTACTTCTACTACGAGGTCGGCCGGCAGGCGGAGACCGGCAAGCAGCAGGACAAGAAAGGCGGCAAAGGCGCCCGCGTGGAGGAGATGGCGATCTTCAGCGGGAAGCACCGCGAGTACGGAGAAGCGATGGTGGCCCCCGAGCTGTTGTCGCACGTGGCAACCGAGCTGGAGCGGGACTCTGGCATCATGAAGCAGATGAGGAAGGCCCGCGAGGAGAGGCGCCTCGCGGGCAAACGTGACCAGTGAAGGGCGCCGCCGCGGGAGCCCCCGATCCCGCGGCGAGCGTGCAGGGGGGTCGCCGGACATGGGCCCCGGCGTGACCACTGCACGTGGCTCTCATGAGGGGAGGGTCGTCAATCGAGATCTTCTTCCTCTTCCTCACTACCGCCTTCCGAGCCTGGACAGCGGCGAGGGTGGCCGGCCGAAGTCTCGTCGGGGCCAACGCCGCCGGGGAGAGCGAGCTCATTGCGAAGACTGGGCTCGCTGCTGCGCCGTCACGCTGAACGAGCTCGACCGAGGGTCCGCTGACCCGCAGCCGCTGGGCCTGCGGGCTAGTGCCGGGCAGGGGCGCAGCTTGGGGATGATCCAGACTGCGGTAGCCGAGCTCGGCCGCCCGCCCGCCGACCTGACGCGCCAGGGAGCCCTGGCGGAGCTCCTGGCTAAGCGCAGCTACACCGGAGAGAAGGTGTCTGTCGCTCGGCTTGACATGTCCTTCTTGTCCTTGCCCTCTAGCGGGGGCGGTCCTCGAGCTTTGTCGATGTTGCTCGGGGACGAGGGTCCAATGGTAGTCGAAGCCTTTTTGAAAGACAAAGTCTTGCCTCCATCGGAGGCGGCGGCGCGGGTGGCCGAATCGGCTTTGAAGCGCCCATGCGATGATCCTTCGCTGCAGGGCAGGCCGCGCAGGTACGCGCGCCTCCTGGTGGCCCTCGACGGCGCAGGCATGCTCGAGTGGAGGCGGCACGGGTCATTCGAGTAGGCCTGTTCACTGTTTGGAAAATGAACGGCAAGCAGAGGTTGATTGTTGACGCTCGTCTGTCTAATCTGCGTTTCGCCCAGCCTGACCCTGTGGACCTCGCCACAGGCGGATCGTTTGCTTCTCTCGAGGTCGATCCCGGACCCCCAGTGTGCCTGGCTCAGGTCGACATCCACGATGCGTTTTATCATTTCTTCTTCCCTTCCGAGCTTGTGCCTCGCTTCTGCCTCCGACCCGTCGCGGCTGGACTCGCCGGAGTGGTTGAGCTCGACGGTGCGCTTGTCCCACCATCCCAGCTGGTGTACCCTCATTTGCGTGTTGTGCCTATGGGGTGGAACCATGCGTTGCGGTGGTGCCAGCGAATTCACGAGTATCATGCCTTTCGGCAGCCCGGCGTGACACTCGCTAACAAGCTCTCGGATTGGAAGCCGGGAGTGCAGCTAGGCCGCCCAGGGTTTGCTCACACCGAATACGTAGACAACTTTGCTGCCATCGGACGTCGGGCCGAAGAGGTCGACGCCGTGGCCGATTCCGTGCACAAGGCTCTTACCGCCGCGGGGCTCAGGATGCACCATCGTGAGAGCTCAACTGGAGGCTCCGTCTTGGGATGGGACTTTAGTGAGGAGTGCCCCCTGGTTCGCGTGAGCCCTCGTAGAGTTTGGAGG